GTTTCATGGAATTAGAATAATTTTGTAGTTACACATCACTAATTATGAAGATCAACGTCCAAAACCATAATTTATTTCAAATTTTATAGGATTATTTCATAGTCAATACCAAAATACTGATGTAATAATAAAAAAACAAGACGATTTGTAAGATAGTAATTCTATAGAATCTGCTTAAACAGCCATCAAAGCACTATATATGAGGCAAAAACCTCACACTCCAAAGAAATTTGAAAATGATTTTTTTTTAATAATTTGATGAATTACTGCCAACCATTTCCAACTTATTTGAAACCTGCTTGTTAATATACTATATAGTTAATAAAATATGAATCTCGTTGTCACCTAGAGAATTCTGGAAAGCAATGGATTACTTGAATATCAGAAGTGCTAGGTAGTAATAACACATACTCTTCCATGTTCGATATTGATGAATTAAGTAAATGACTCTTTTTTGATAGACTTCCTAATACAGCAGGCGTATTTAATCGTGTTACTCAGCAGTATGATAGTATCAGACTTAATGAAGATTTTCACTTTGAATCTGTCAGCTTAGAGTAGGTATGTTGAGCGGGCTTTACTATGCCTTAAAACGAATACCGTTGGAGTAAAGAACATCAAACTAAAAATTATCCTGCTCGTTTTTCCTTACGTTGGTAGTGTATCAATCTACATTATTAAAATAACCGCTTCTTAGTTGTGTATTTCTAGCTCAGTGAAAGAATGCTAAGCTAATTTCTGTTCCAAAAGGTCTCATTTCCGTCCTATAAGCATACTTCCCAATGATTCCAAAATTTTAGAAAAAAGTGTTTCTGCATAGCTCAGAAAATTTGTTGAAAAGCGCAATGTGACTCCATATTATATGTCTTCCGTTTTTTGTACTGGATATAGTACATGGACTGCCCTAGCAAATGTTACTGATCATGTTTTCAGAGTTTGTGACTATAAACTCAATACCTGTTTAATACTTATTGATTACAGTAAAGCATTTGATACTATTAGCTATTTATTAATTTGCACAAAATTAATATGCTTTGGTCTCTTCTGTTATGCTTGCTAAGAATTATATGCGACAGATCTCAAACAACTGTAGGTAAGTAGTATATATATATATAGGTCTGATATTTTCAAGTAGCTTGAATTTTGTAACATCCATCAGTATGCTGACGACACACAGCTTTATTACTCGTTTTCATAAGATGGCGATTTAGTTGCCAGTGAACGCACTGAATTGCATTCCTGAATATTCTATTGGTCATGATTTGGTACTGAATGCTCAAAAAACTATAATGATACTTCTTGGATGTAAATTATTGCATCAAGTAAGATTTTTTTTAAATCTGGGTGGTTCAATATGGGCTAGAGGTTTATTCCTGGTCCATAACATTAATTCCTCTCATGTTCCCAGTTGTCAACTCTTCTTCAACTCTTTGGCTTCCTATGTGAAGAACGCTACCAGAGTTAGTACTTTTAAAAATGCTGTTAAATTCTTCATAAAATCTACTCGCTAGACTCTCTTTTAATTAATGTGAAAATGTAAAATTTATTATGTAAGTATATATGTCAACATGTATTTGCCATTATGGGTTGCATGGAAGAGTAACAATGTTGAATGTCCCCAGATCTTCACTTGTGTGTAACCAAATTTCTCAAGCATGCAAGTTGGTTATCAATTCACTATCGAATCGGATTGATCAGTTTCAATATTCGGGTATCAAAATCACTATAAAAATAAAAAAAACCTTGTTGAATGCCGTTTAACATGAATCAAGAGGTTGACGGGAAATATCTCTGTATAAATTTGTATAAACGATTTCTTTGAACAAATTACATTTTTTTGGTTAGTAGCAACTTTTATCTAAGATTTTCGAGTATTTTGAATTGTGAAAGATCCTAAAAATGACCATATTCAATGCTTAATAATTACATCAAAATATATTATTTTTGAGGTTATCAAGTGTCTAAATTAAAAGTTCAATGGACCTTGAAGATTATTTCGCACTTATTTTGAAGTATTGTTATTTGATCGTTACTGCAAATGAGTCAGACATTTAAAAGTGTATGATACGATCTTACTTTAACAGTACAAAACAAGGTTTTTTGAATATTAAATTTGTTATTTGTTGATCCACTTCAATTTGGCACGTCAGGTATATAATGTGTTTGGGTAACATTAATTTGGCTATCTGAAGTTAAAAATAATCTGACAATAAGAAAAGTACCTAAACATCACAACAATCAGATTTTCCATCATAGTTGGACATAAGGCTCCTCTAGATTGTCGTTCAGTCCAAAATAAAATAATAATAGTGATAATAAGCATTCAATATCTCTGAATACTAGTATGGCGGTAAATAAAATAAAATTGTAGCAACGTTAGCTTATTAAGAAACATGAAGAAATGTTTATCTAAAAAAGCACTATCCAACTAATTCAATTCTATGAAATCACGAACAATCTACCAAGCATTGCAGGTCTTACTCAGCATCATGTAAAATTGATTGGACACAGTTATGCAAAAATATCTTAACATTTTTTTATGGATAGACGTACAAAAATTCTTAAACGAACATACACAAAGTCTAGGATAACTCATGAAACTTAATCCTGTCTCTTTTAAGTCTATAAGCAAAATCAAATTGACTGGCATTTCGGCTGACGTAGTAAGTAAAGTATTGAACAAAAAATAGCAGCCTTCTGAGTTAAGCCAAAAATATTATTGCATTAAGTCAGTGTTCTGTCTTTATTTTACTTCCCACATCACTGGCGATAGAGTATTGTAATAGCGAAAAATTTCTAAAATGCGATATTACGTTTTTTGGATGCTATATAGCATGTACATTACGAAAAACTATGTGCCTCATTTCCTTCAGTCTGTTCAATATGCCAAGGACAAAAAACCTTCATATTATTTTATTTTATTGAATAAAAGTCGCTCAAACCTGATTTTTTCGCTTTTCATAGGTAATTACATGATCATTTTCTGAAAAAATTGGTAGGGGTTCAAGATTGGGGGCGCCTCGGACTGGGCGATAGGTGGCTGGCAAGTGGCAAGGTTAGTCATAACAACGTTGTCAGATGGTCGGGACTGTCAATGGGGTAGGGGAGACATTTCTAAATCGCAACGTGTCTGTAAGCATATACTAACTGATGACAGCTTTGCGAGGGATGTACAGAGTCATCCTATCTGGCGGCATTTTTATATTTTGCTCTAGTGATACCTTCAAACGCTGAACATCAGCTATTACATGACTTCCACGGACATGACCACAAGAATATTTTGGAATTCATTCCTGATAATCTGCTTCAATTTAATGGAATAATGATGAAGTATATTGTTATTTAAGAAGTAACGGCATATTAAAAATATATATAGAAAAACAACGGTGGTACTTAATGACACTTGTATAAAGTTGGCGAGAGAATGCAGGAAGTGAATTTCATTGACAGTAGGTAATTGTAAAGTTGTATCACTGATAATGTTAAGCTGAGTGGTTGTATGATAAAAAATGATTCTTGGGTAAATTAATGCATTAATTATGACTTTACCGACAGTTTTCTGCTGAGACGGTAGAACTGGGCGAAATCGATTCTTTTAGGAATTTACTATTCTTTTTATTTCAGATTCTATTCGATTCCAATTTGCGTAATTTCAAATAAGTACTACAAAGGAGAGAGATCGATTGTTGTATTTTTTCTTATATTGAAGCAGCCGCGCAGGTAGAAGCCTAAATGCCAGAACACCGCGGATTACAAAAGTCTCCTGAAATCGAATCCGTTTGTTTCGATATCAGCTCCTACCAACTTCCACCAGCTTGATTAAGTAGGAAAAAAACGGGAATCAAACCCCTTGACAAGCTGTTTCGTGCCGCCCATGTTTAGCAGTGCGCGTTATTACGTTTTTCATTGAAAATGTCATGTGTCAAGTGTTTAAAAAGCATTCTTCTGTCTGAATTCAGATATTGCTTTTGATTTTAAAGGCTCCAAGTGAAGAACGATTTACTATCTGTAGTGCATGTGGGGAATATTTTGCCGTTGGACTGTCACGGAGATTGTAACGAGAAACAGGTTGTTGAATCTGTTTATACAATTTTCAATATCCTATTGGAGATGCTGTTCAAGTTGGGCATGCAAATTTTTGTGGAAATCAGAAGCTTCAGACTTAAACCTAAAACATTTTGTGACATGTCGTACGGGACCAACACTCAAGTGTACTTAACAATTCTCTTGTTACTTTTTGTCTTATAGATGGTTTTGTTGCCTGAATACTTTACAGTTTGCTTTCTTATTTTTCACTTATTCTTTAAATTAGTTCAATACTATTTTTACAAATTACGACAGGACAAAATGCCATCTATTACCAGAATAGACGATTTTGTGCTGTCTCATTTCCATATGCCTTGTACTCTGGATAGAAGCGATTTGTTCAGCTTTCCTTAGTTGTTCTACGTGAGACCAAGCCTAGACCACGATGAGGAGTTGCCAAACAACCCGAAACAGCTGTCCATGGTTGGCTGTTTGTGGTCCGACTAACGAAAGCTATTTGACTATTTTTCAGTTTTATTTTCCGCGATAAATCTAACAATAAGGTGGCAGCTGAACACGTATCCAAATACCATCCAAACACAAGATATCAGTTCATTCGAGATGATCGGAATCGATTCCTTAAGCTTTCTCTGCAATATCGTTTCTTTGGAACGACTCGTTCAGAACCGACCCAGCTCTACCAGTTGGTCGGTGGGCCTGCAAAGATCTAATTTCTTACTATGCCTAAATAGGGATTGGCGATACTTTCAGGATTTTTTAATTAAGTAATCGAATCTAGTGTTCCAAATAATTCCTGAGCACCTAGTTTCGTTCATTTGTAGCCACAGCGGACGACTACGGAAATTTGCCATTGAAGAACTTTTAAAATTCAAGAAGGATGATTTTCCATAATTCTTGTGTATACTTTTACAAAAAAATGCGGTATAAGGCAGTAAAACATGCATCTTACTTACATCGTCCCTTTTTCTACGGTCATATTAAGATTACTGAGCACATGATTCGGTTTCTTCTTGCTGCCGTACGTCTTGAAGGCATGCCTGACGACGACCGCCTGCTGCCGTTGTTTTCCGCCCCATTGCGCCGTAGCAGTCGAATCGGTGACTGTCTGCGGCGTGGAGGGGATGTGATTGTGATGGTGATTGGGCGAGCCGGCGCCGGTAAGCGGTCGCTCGATCGTCACGCCCACCAGATCGGGCCCGGGCACGGCTGGGGTAGCCACGCCTACCGACGAGGGTGGGACGGTCGTTATGGTGATCGTGCTGGCGGTGCTGTTGCTGTTATCACCCATCGCTGAGGATGCCGTTGGCGACGGGGGCGGCGGTGGCTCGCTGGAAAAGAAATGAGGGGTTAAGCGGTGTTTTTATCATACAAAAAGTTTCTAAACCTTTGGGAATAAATTCAAGCGACGTTTCTATGGACTTAGCCTGTGTAGCCTAAGAGCCAGGATAGTTGCGCTCTGTGATATGACTGTGATGTAACTAACATCTGCTTCAGATACAGTACAAGTCACGTTCGCAGCGAGTAAGCGTGGGGTGGACAAGCGACTAGCTAGTACATAAGTGACAGGTATGGCGATCAGATCACTAACATAGCAATTATTTAACATAATGTAGGTGCAACCTTGTTTTGAAGATTCATGCCCATAATGGTCGCTACTGGAAGTCTGTCTTAAATAACTTCTGAACGATATTCTGTAATTCAACTAAATTTTGATAGCATAATTGAGTTATCTAGATCGCCAATGACGTTATAGCTCTAACGTAATATTGTCAATTTATACCCTCTGTATATCTAGTAATGGCTCGACAATGACATAAAAGGAACAGTTGTTTTTAAACAGTTATTTCAGTAGACTGTTCTCAATGTTGGAACTGGGACCAATATACGTATAATTTTCTAGGTTTTAAACATACAAAAACTCTAGAGTACATATTTTCAAATCATTTAAAATTTTTACAGTGAAAATCCATAGGAACAGTATTGGAGCAAGGGTGCTTTTCTCAAAAACGGCTTATTTTATCGAAATTAACTAGAAATACGTTTTTCAGGTGAAGTGCTAGACTTCCCAAAAGTATTGTCTTTAAGCAAATAAGCAATACCTAAATAAGTATTTTCCATTCGTTCAATGATGTGGAATCTCAAATAGTTTCTGGCTACATGAAATATTGTTGAAATTACTTAAGCCTCCTCAGTATCTAGCGCGACCTCGAGAATTGTAGCGAGATGTGCATTTCCGAGTCAGGTCAGGAGCGTACCGCTTCAGTTCCCTTTCTTTTGCTTCCTTCAGTAGGCACAGAGAAGAAGTGCCGCGCAATGCCGAGTTGCTTGAGCGCTTAATAAATAAACTTTTTTTTCTCCATTAATCACTTTACTCCAGTATGCACACATTTCTTGTTTGTATCTCGAAGAGAGAGATACCTAGTTAAAAACAAGAAATATGGATGCATGGAATATTAGAAAATGCTGGAGAGCGTTAAGAATGATCAATTTTTTCATGTCTCAAGGTACATTATTCTGCCTAGCCTGTACAAATGATACAATAAATCAGAGATGGAAGTCATCTATTAACCTTTCGTTCAAAGTCATCTATCAACCTTAAAAGTCACGTGTTCGACTCTCCTATAGTCCAACGTACAGAAAACGATGTATCGAGACGTATGGCCATCGAGTAGCATTGAATAATTATTACTTAATTAATGTGTATGTGTGTTTTCACGTCGGTTTGTGTATGGTCTGTGGTAAGTAGGGCATCGACGGCCTAGATTCGTCAACATAGACAACTGATCGTGCTGTGTCTACAAACAGAAATCGCCAGGCTGCTAACGATGCGTTGTTTCGATGCAATCATGGAGAGTCAAAACTAAAAACTAGGAAATGTCATGTACTACCAAAGAGTTCGGACTAGGTAGAAGGAGCAACTATACTAGTTGTTTGTAACCGAATTTACTTAGTCAGTAGTCAGGATGCAAGTTCATTAAATTCGTTCTGCGAAAACATAAAAGTGCGCGGGTTTACACACAGTGCTCGTCTTCCAGACAATTGTCAAAAATGGTGAAGGTTTCTGTAGATTGCAAAAAGTAGTTTAAGCTTAAAATATAACATGTAACAACATTTAAAATGCAAAATATTGAAGAAAAAATGTTCATATGGATACTGGAAATGGCCAACCAAACTTTATCTAAGCGTCTCAACTACTTTCATGTCGAGTCTGAAAATTCTCCGTAAAGTCTTTATTTTTGCGTTATGAGTTTTACGTTTTTTCATGTTGGCGCCATGAAATTCTAGTGAGGAAGCTCAGCACGCCACGAATAAATTATGTCACCTCTAAATCTTTTTATTAGTTCAATATAGTGGCAATGGTATCTAATATATTATGTTCAACTAGCCACTTGTTTGCTTTTAGCCAAAACCGAGTAGAGTTCAAGCAAGGTGCCCCATTATTTTTAGTATTGTTTACCTTCCAAAATCACGAATTAAGCAGAATTGTTCATATACTGTACCGCTAATAAATATTTGCGTTCATTTCATTGCCTTTTTTGATTTATACCTGTTCATTAACCGTTACTGGGCTATTTATATGGCAACATAGATAGATACGATTGCCTACTTGAACACCCTTATAAATGTAATTCATCTACTTTGGTAGGTATAGAATTCGTTGGGCACTATATTTAATAGAAATTTAATATGTAATGAACCAAGGAAATTGCTTTAAAATCAAAATCTATTGGGTAGCGTTGTGCTCCAAGTAGATGATCTGAAAAATACCTACTCTAGCCATCCATATATGAGTCGAAGTAATGTATACTTGAACAAACCATTGGTTAACGTATTTTGCAACAAGATGCCCAACCCTATGCAGTATCTGGTATTCACATATAATGTTCAACGTTATAAATATTTTGTTAAGTAGAATCACAGTAATTCCCTTAGAAGTTATAAAAACAAAGTCAGTTTTAGTTTTTAAGAAAATTGTGCATTCCTAAACATGTCATTAATTTACCAAGAAAAGATTTTCCACAACCGATCTCGTAAAATTTTGTATTCTCAGAATCTATTAACCTAGGAACAATTAATTCCATAATCTACGACAAAAGGCCGAAAGGTTTAGGGCTTTCAATTTGGTCGAATATCTTTTTGTGAACTATTGCAATCAGCGACTAAACTAACCGTAAAATAAGGTACATTCACCATTATTTTGACTGTTATTCCGCCTTTATTCTCCGTACTCCGAGGTGGGGGCTACGAGTGCCGTACAGGGTTGCCAGATGGGTCGCATAGAATCAAAGTATATTATATTAGACCATCCTCAAATAGTAGCCACACAATCCTCGCGCTCTAATACTCTCGCACAATGCTGATCAATACAAGCAGTTGTTTCATGAAATGTTTATATGTTTTGACGTGGCCTTATTGGTAAAGCTATAAGAGCGGAAGTAGTTTCACAGTGGCTAGTTTCACACTATTAAAGACGAAATCCTGAATCGATCTGTTAATAGCGTTGTATTGGGTGATTTTCCCTCAGTTTGGGATGATTTTTGTACGTAAATCATTTATTAACTGAACCAGTCTGTATCAAAACAAAAATACAATCGAGAAACCAACGTTTTCAATCCCACTTCTGAACTAATCAATGTTTTATTTCTAACAAAAGCAAGATATACCGGGTGTTTCAAATTCGACCCTCACCATTGGGATCTCGGAAACGGTAAGGGATACTAAGTCGCTTAAATGGAGGCAAAGTTGCGTATTTAGGTAACTAACAAAATCCTCCTAGAATTTTTTTAATTATTCCTGACTATTTGTATTGGGATTTTAAAATAAAACAACTTTGTTTTGATTCTAAAAATGGCTTACTCATTCGAGAATAAACAGTTGACATACCGGCATCTATATATACAAGAGCAAGCATGCTACTATCACCTAGCCATGCCGTACAATCTAAGGCTTAACGCTTGTAAATTTTTAATTTAAAGTACGGCCTAAAACATTACGTGAGATTGTGAAAAACACTTGACCCAATTTTTCATACGTTGGGACACCTGTAAGCTGGGGGCCGCGTATCATCGATACGGCTGATACGGCGGTAACTTTGCCCCTGGTTCGAAGACAAAGATGAAATGAAACATGCTTCCTAATCTCTATCCCATCTCCAAACGTATTAATCACTTAAAAAAAGGCAATCCAATAGAATACACAAAATATTCAAAAATCGCCGCTACGTCAAGAAGCTGACCCATGTATATGACGAATCATCAATCATCGCGCGCGAACAGTCGAACGTCAGATAATTGACAATCACGGAACAGGTAGATCGAAACAAGTCAATATGGCGTGAAGATGAGGAAGATCATTTTTCACCAGGACAATGCGCTTGCAGACAAAGGTGTCTTAACAATGGGAAAACTGATGGGTTTGGGGTATAATTTGCTCGACTATCCTCCCTATTCTTTTCATTTGACACCCTTAGGCCCGTATCGTCAGTCGTCCCTACAATTGTAGGGCGCGTTTATGGCCTTGAGTTCCAAGATGGAACCTAATGTTGAAGAAACGTTGGATCAAGTTGCAAGTTGCAAATCCCAGTCTTTCATTGTCAGGTCGAGAACTTTCTACCCGATCCTCGTAGACGCGACTTTTTCTTCATTTATAACAAAAGGTGAGAGAACAAACCAAGTATCAAACAAATAAACATCATATTATAATACCACAATTGTGTTACAGACAATTTTTCTTAACAAAATTGTCTTGCGTTATCAATCACATTAATGTAATTATAGTTTTACTTGCTGGTTTTACGATTCCTGAACAACCGCTGATTTATATTATTCTATTCAGTAGGTGGTTTACGGCTCGGTTGGTTGTTCTCTAATTGCTTTATTTGGAAATACGGCCGTAAAAACATCATTTTATTTCTACAAGCTTAAAAAGGATTGTGTATATAGTGTTTCCATTCCTGAATGAGGCGGACAAAAGAAAACACGGCTCTCAAAAACATTAAGAAACCACAAATAGATGGTCGGTACTACAAAGCATAACCGATGAATTGAAGGGCTTCGAGCAATACGGTACCTAAGCCATAGTGACTTTACTTAGAGAAATCTATACTTGCTAGTTAAATGTTAATCCTGAAATCACGTGTCTTGATTAATTTTGATTGAAATGATGCATAAGGTTTACATTTTGAGTAACGAGTAATTTGATGGCTTGCAGGCTAAGAAATCATTTTTCAATTTGAGATATTTTTTTTAAATTCCTCAGTTCATATTATAATACAGACAGGCTAACAAAAGTCACAGAAACATTAGTGTTATATTTATGTTTATTGACAAACAAGAAACTGATACATTTGACTATTTATAAAACACTCACATGTGAGGTAAATGCTTGGAAAGCTTTTTTGCAAACATCGCCGTCGTCTTGATCTACACTAGAACTATAGTAAACAAAAATATAAAAATAGCACAGTCGATTGAACTTGGCACTACTTTTTTCTGATTTATCAGTTATTTTTAAGGTATATTTATTTCAAATCCAAATATTTCACTTGAAACGGGAACAATGTGTAATATGTAGGGTAGATTAAACAAAATTGGTTTCCAAAGTTTTATGTTGTTCTTAAAGCCATACCTACACGTTGGGATGGATACGTTTAATTTTAGTGAGAAAACATTTAGGCTAAAGTCGAAGGATTAATATTGTTCTCGTACCTTTTTTTTTTTGTTACCTAGCTATATCTACGTTTCCAACATGCAGCTAACTCAAATGTTCATATTCAGAACATTATAGCAGCTGCCCTGGAGGTTATTTTTTGTGGTTTAATTATAGGTCAGCCTTACATCTGAGATCTGTTCTATCATGAAAACTTATGAATAGAAACTAATCAGGGCTGCTAAATAATGCACAAACATCCTTTATATACGTAGTCTGATCGATTGTGGCAGTAGAAGGTGGGGTCATTGATCTTTATAAGGAACAAGCTATGCTTCCTCCTTGGCACCTTCAGCAGGAAAAAATGGGATCCTGCATTTCTACAAGTCTTTAAAATGATAGAATGCGTGAAAAGCACTTAGACATTACCTCATTTTCAATAAAGCGATATAACAAAAAAAAATTGCCACTTTCTTAGTACCTACAGGGTGGTACCTACACAGGTTAGGTATGAATGAAACGCGGCGCTCTATATTCGATTTTAAAGAAAGGGTCAGAAACTGATTCATTTAACAATCTGACTTTGATGAATGAAGTGATATAGCAGTGGAGCTACACGACACAGTAAGGTTTTCGACTAACTGCGGTCCTTTCAGCTTACGGTTCACAGTTTAATAAGCTTATGATCATCATTGCAGAATAATCTACCAGAACTAGTGTTGCCCAGTTTTGTTGTTCTTAGTCAGTTCGAAACCTCTTGACAATCGCAGAGCTCTGATATTTGAGCTTAGTTCCCGAAGCTGATTGAGTATGAAAAACCTTGGTTGACTAAGTGTTTGAAGACAGAAGGTGGAATGAAACATACCTCCTAATTTCCATCCTAACTCTAAACGTATTAACCACTCAATAAAAGGTAATCCAATGAAAGACACTTTTGGAAATCACACAAAAGTCACCACCGAACGAACCACTTCAATAAGAAGCTGCCACATGCTCATGGCCAATCATCGCGCGCGAACAATTGACAATCACTGAACAGACAGGTGGATGGAAAGTAGTAGGTAAATATGGCGACCGCGAACCCAATCACGCCGATTTCATGTCGCGGACTGCTAGCTTAGCCTGTTCTGTTTGATTTCGCGTTCGCGACGGAACGGACGGACGCGATGGTGAACGCCGCCGCCGCGTCATGGCTGTCGAAGGTGGTGGAAATTTTCCTTTCTTCGGCGTTGGAGCTTTGCTTCAGGTGACCTTGAAGTTACGAATGTGGTCAACCAACCTGGCGGCTAGCGATTTTGGCAAGGCGACTTTGTGGTGTAACTGTTCTCTTATGTTATATAAGTGACGTAATAATGAAATGATATTGAGCATTAAGATATTAATAAAAAATCTAGTCATGGTGGTTCATGTACTTCATATCGACACAAAGACCTCATTTTTGTTTTGTCATTTCGTGTTCAGCAATCATATTTGCGTGTTCGCCATGTGCGAAGTGGGTAGTGGATACCGTCAAACGAATGAAATGTGAACTTGCGAATGACAAGTGTAAAATTACCCAAGATGACATTGATGATGTTTTAGGACATTTTAAACTAATCTTGTCTGTGGCCCATGTTGTTATACTTTATCTGTTATACTCAGCATTCCTTCATACTTCAACATGTTTCATTTTTGGCCACAGGTTTTTGGTTATTTTTGAGGAGATGCAATAATGATGGTCCTCATTTTGGAAAATATAATTTAAAAGCGGTTTGATTCTAATAACTTTCGGGGACTGTATGCTTCATTAATAGATGTGTCGCTTCCCGAGTCATGGTCAAGAGAAAAGGTGCGGAAATCTCATAGTCGCGTCGTCCATGTATCTTCTCTAAAAGTTAACTTTGTGATGAAACAATTAATGATATGAAAAAGGATGCGCTGATGAACGTATTTGTTACAAAAGCTGATAGAAAATGTAATAGAATACACTCTACTCTTTATTATAATCCATGGCATTTAAGAATTGGAGTTATTAGAAATAACTAAAGAAAGCTTCGTTTTCAAGTTTCATGTCTCTGTTGTTAATCAGGTGTTACCATATGGAAAGCATATTCAGATATCCAATAATTTTATCATTATGCTTGGTATTGATTGTTTTTATAAATTGTTAAATTACCCTGTTTTGTTGAACATATTAAAGCGGAACTTATCATTCCAGATTCCAGCTAAACAGGTTTTATTATTAGGTTGTTATATTACGTACTAAATTATCTTATATTGGTAGTTTTTAAATTGTCTCTTTTAAGTTGTTTGGATTTTGTATCGCGATCAGGTTTTAAACTCGTTAGATCCCACATCAGATTTTGATCGAAAATTTGAATTAACAAGGTATATTTTGTAATAACAGTAACGGTACTTCGATATTTAAGGTTTTACCTATACATTTGTATGTTGTCAAAAACATGATCAGCTATGATCCAGGAGTACAACACACCTATTCAAAGTCAAGGTTCGTGTAATACAAGACGATGTTGTAGGGGAGAGCGAGACCGAAACCGCCGAAGGTAAGTAGTGCCGACGCGAATATCTCAGAAACATAAAGAGATAGATAGCTATACGCTAACATTACGTCGCACAATACCTAAGCGTCCGGCTCACGTGGCAGCCATTTAAGTTGCTCCAGAGCCGTGGATCAAGTGGCTAGGTGTGAGTGCCATTCAGTTCCACGTAAGTAAATATTTTCGCGTTTGTACTTTTTGGTCTCAAACTAATATTATTCTTTCTTTTTATATGGAAGTTTTGCTAAAACGCTTGTCACTTATCTATAAATCTTAAACAATGGATTTTGAATACTTTGTGCATATTTTTTTTTCAATATGTATCAAAAGGTTATGACCTCACAAACGGGGTAAAATGTGCTTTTCGTTTAGGGCTAGTTGTGGTGCGGCAGGATCAACCCAACGTAATTTTCAATATTCTAATATTGCCTCCTGTTTACTTGTAAATACTAAATAATTCATTACTTTTTTGACAGGATGAGGACCTAAAAGCGAAAAACACAAAGGGACACTACATCTCGAGATTTTATGTAGAGGACTGTTGTTGCGGTCATTGTGGACATGCGTAAACTAAAAACTGTTGCGCGTGTGGCAGAAACATTTTACACAACGCTACAACGCTATGTCAAAAAATTAAGCACAGAGTTTCAAGTGTTTATGGATCATCTTATCAATACACTGTTACAGTGTTGTTACTCGTGGATAATAATTTACCTCACATTGAAATTGATGTGACTGAGCTAAGAGAAACTCAGTCAGCTTACTATCGTTCGCTCTGGCGATTATGCTTACTAATGTATGTAACGCATTTAAAAAAGGCTGGTGTTTGGCCCTTCGACTCGAATATTTTTACAGACAACGATTTTGCACCGTCTTCTGCCACCATCAATCAAAATTATAAAATCAACCCCTGATTGGAGAAAGCGCCTCTGAAGATACCGATGAGTGAATCTTTATGGACAGCGCTGTTGAGATTAGTCTATCAACAATTCAGCAAGATCCTAAGCGAAATGACGGTACAAGTGAACCAGGACCTTCAGGTATTCAGCATGCTTACTGTTGAAATGACTCTTTACCATCAGCTGATCAGGAGGTAGTTTATGCAAATTGTGAAAAGTATTCTAAGCCATCGGTCAAAGTTAAGAGTCAGGCCAGATCAGTACGGAGCTTAGGAGGAAGAGAGAAGATGAGGACGCTGTGCATTTCTCACAGGAATTAATAATACCATCGCCCTAAGCACCTCATCGATTAATTGGAGGTCATAAAGGACGTGGAACAAAGTCAGCTGTTTCTTACAGATACTCTCTAGAAAAATGCTTTATCAGAAGAACAGGCTAACAAGCAAAAAGAAGAAAGGCCACGAATAATATTAAAGATAAGTAGAAGGGAAAAGGTGATAAACAAATGAAAAATCTCCAATGAAGAGAATAATGAACTGAATCATATGTTGTGATGCATGCTCTAACTCTGCTCCTGGGCAGGATAGACAAGATACTTTAAATTTAAAATATCCAGAAGAATAAGTCTTGTTTGATTTTTTCATTCTATTTAGTATTATAAAGCAACAAAGTTTAAGAACTGTTGAACTGTAGAAAGAACCTATGAATAAATATAAAATTATAAAGTTGTTTTCTTTGTATTTGTGACTTTCTGATTCTATATTCATATAAATTACCAAACATTGTGAACGGAACAACCGACCTCAGCTACGGCACAACTTGACCGAGAGCGGGAAGGTAGGTAGTGCCTCATCAGCGCTTCTTAAAAAAGTCACTTTATGACAAAAACTATTGAAAATTTATAAAAAGCGCAAGCAAATTTACTAAATTAATTAAATATCACATTAGATAAACGACAATTGCTAGCCGTAGTATGTGCCTTATCCGATTTATAGAAGAAATTGCCAAAATCGGCAGTTTCAGCCCCGCTCTCCCCTAGTTGCCTGAGTATAGTGGTGTATCAGATAACGTGACATTAAGACTAAGGGTCAAGGGTTGTTGCATTAACCCGAACCGATGCTTTGATTTAGCAGACACCAGATTAATACTTCCTGGGATGACGGAACACAGAGGGTACTGACGAAAGCATGTCTAATTTATAGGCATTCCAAGAAGTTCAGAGCAGAAATAAACATGCTGCTTTCGTCCATCCGACCACAGAGCAGTTGTTTAGTGCTTTTTAGCATGGTCTAGGCTTGGTCCCAGAAGGGCAACGAACTAAAGCTATCCTCTGACGTATGAGATCTATCGAAATAAGACAGCACAAAGCACCATTTATCACCAACATCAACAACTGTGAAAGAGAATAGCAGCTACAGGTTGAAATTGTAAAAATCCTCAGTTAGTGTTTTGATAGCCGATTTTAGATGTCTGTGGTCGGATGGACGAAAACAGTTGTTCAATAGCGAGTAGACCATTTCTGTTCTACCGTCAGAATCGTCAGCCTCTAGCGGTTACAGTGGTGACTGAGCTGTCAAACGCGAACTGAAATCCTTACAATTCCAACCGATAGCTGCTATACACTCTCGCAGTGGTCGATTCTGGTAACAGATGACGCTTTGTGTTGTCTTATTTCGAAAGTTCATAGCAAGTCCAAACGTCGAACTCTTGGCATCTTGGATCTCCTATCAAGCCGGTGCTCTAAGCCCTAGCCCGATGGGCCCATAGGGTCTTAGACGGAATAGGTGGGAGTAAACCTTAGGGAGTTGAAAGATCTGTCGGGCACAATTGAAAAAAAAATCTATTTCATGGTAACTTACATGTTGGGTTGGTAACTTCGTATCCCCAGAAGCCTGAAGACAACATCAATGAGATTTCCTAATCCCCACATCTACACCGTTATCTAAACTGCACTATCCAGTTCCTCAAAACACATCTACTAGCATCTTATTGCACCATTGAACAACACTGTCTTATTCCGCAACCACTCGTGTGTTCGCTTAACTGCTATGAGAAATTATTGTTATAAAAACAGGCGATGGACGGTAGGTAAATTAGCATAATGTACGTATAATTGTTCATTTTACAAGAGTTTCTCATTAATTTTGCTCACTAATTATTGTCACTGAAAATATAAATGGTGGTTTCGCATCTAGCTATTTTTTATAATGTAAACCATAGACGTCCATACGTTTTCTTGTGATCTATTTTAGCACTGAATAACGTATTTTTCCAGAATCCAATCATATTAGCATATATTTAGCTACAACGTCATCTATGAGATACTAACCTTTTCAAAGTGGATTTCTAATTATTGTGGGGAGCTGTGACAAATTCTCATAGATGAGCAACGGTATCTCATTTCATTTCGGATAATTTTTTGGATGTGGGAATATAGTAATAGGTTGGCTATTTTCAGGTAGAATACGTTAATCAATAATTTATGTCACTTGTGTAGCTCAATAGTGCAAATAAGCATTTTCCAAGAAAAACCCAAATCCTAAGTTGAATTCGGTCACATACTATTTCCATCGTAGAAGTAACAAAAACGGACTACATTTTTGGTTAGGAAATCGCTTAGTCTTAAACTTGACATCAAACTTCCAAGGTAAAGACGCCACGCAATCCCTTCTTGTTATCACGAAAGCTTTTGATCAGCTGTGGCCTACTGTCCTCTTATGCAAACTTCATTCCTATTACCTATCAGAGAAGCTTTACAGTTGGATGGCTAACATAATCTCTGATCGCAAGATACCCGTCATAATTTCCGAGTTCTCTTCTTCATCCCACAATTTGAATGCGGGTGTTCCCCAGGGATCGATCTTGGCCCCGACATTGTTTCTATTAAATATCAACGACCACCTTTCTTGTACGATCAATCCGACCTACAGCTTTGCTGATGGCAGCACTCTACATGCCAGAGTGCCAATCTGATTTCCGCTGGTAAAGACTGAAGAAGACCAGCAGCGACTTCCTTTCTGACAAGAGATTATCACTGCTTCGAAACGCAGCAAACCGGTAAAGTTTAATGCTTCCATAAACTTTACCGGACTTTTCTCTGAGGTACAGACTCGGGACCCTTGCTCACCGATGGGCCTCCGACGATATAGGCAGTTCGAGAATCGGATTAACAAAGAGTATGCTCCTTATGGACCAAATGGACCCGCTAAGCTCATACTTTATTCTAACCCAGTCGAACTTACATCGCGAACTAGCCGATGCAATATCTTCTTGGTGCCTAGAGTAAAGGAAATGTTGAACAATTTGTCAGAAAAAGTTTTCTTAGATCGTTATTCGGGGACGTCACTGAGTTAGAACTTTCCTCCATATAGCGTGTGAACTTTAGAATTGATTATTTATTATACCTACCTCGCTTCTATAAGTGTGCATTTTTTATGGAAAATATGGGGTTACATCTGTCATTAGTTTGTTTTAAAATGTATGTCCTATGTAACGTCATACATATATTTTACTAAGTAGGGAACATTGTTACATATACATAGATGTACTATTGCGATGCTGCTAATTATGGTTTCAGAAAATTGTTTTGTTATGATTTGCATTGTTCCATATAAAGGTACATAGTCATAATGGGAAGAGTGCCAGTCTCGAAAATCCCGGAATTCCACTGGAATTTGAGTCGGACTAAAGAACCGGAAACAAAAAACTTTATCCTGGTTCCACCGCTATTTCAGGGATGAACAATAAATGAACTTATTTATCAAAATATGAGCTTGACATATGTTCGAAGCTCCATCTTGTTCGCGTTCTTTTAGCCATTTAGGGAGGGCCACTGGTTGTTTATTGAAGAAACTCATTAATGGCTAAGGATATTGTTTCTTATAATGAAATAAATGAAATTAAATACCGTTTTTTACATAAAATGAACTAGGCCAACAATTTGTTACGGAATTGGAATTAACCCAGCAGTATATTTTAATATCAAAACTGAACATGATTCTAAAGGTCTATAGTCCCAAAACTCCCGGGACTCTCAGTTCATTTGACAGCTGATTCCGAAGTTTCTAGTTCTCTGGAAATTCCAGGCTCCTCCTTCCCTGCTGCCAGTTTCCTGGGTATTCGTATACCTTGGTTATTGGTTGAAACGGAAAACCTTTATTGAAAATAAATGGTGTTCCAGTTTTTACTCTTGCAATCTACAAAGTATGCGTATATGATCTATTCGCGATGTCAACTAATGCCTGCTTGCATTCAGTCGAAAATTACGGCAGTCAGTCAAGCCTGAAAATATTACATAAAAAACATACAATTACGTTTAAGTACTGAAATTTACTTTATTACTGGCAATTTTCTAATTTGTTTTCACATTTAAGTTGTCGCTGCATCGTCGACGGTGATGATATCTCATTGTCATAATTTATTTAAAACTTGACAACCTCGGAAGCAATGTAGAAATGTTCATTTGTAGGCAAGTGCTCAGTGTATACAATATTGCAAGGAGCTAAACTAAATATGTATATATCACAGCACATAGGTTCCATTGGGCTTTTCGTCAGTCTTCCTAAAGCGTTATCCAGGTTTGCGTCATCAATCAACCCAGTTTTTCACTTAATAATAAGATGAACAACCATAAACGGAACCAGATGCATTTAGAATGACATCGGATTCGATTCCAGCAACTCAAAATACGATAATAGATTTGAACCGCATTTTTTTTCTTATATACTGAAGCAGCCGCATAGTTCTGCAGCTTAAATACGAGGGCACCATAGCTGCTATAAGGAGCTTGCAGTCACTTTGTTAATAAGATTTATGAATTGCTTAAAGTTAGTAGAACTGGGAAAAGGCTTCTCAAGCAGATTCTTCCACAATCTTGACACTCTAGGAACAAAGGAGTGGTCGTACCGGCCAGTTCTGTGAACAATTCTAGAGGCTGGATCTTATCTGGGCCTCGTATGGAGTGAGAAGGTACTGCGGAGAAAAGTACGCCTCAGCCCTTAAAAAATAACCTAGCTTTAAGCCGACATCTGCCGCGATTAAACAGATGTAGATCAAGTCCTGGGATATCTGGACTCCGATCAGCCGAAACGAACGCCTTTTTGATTGAATTCGGCCATGTATCGAAACCGGAAGGATTTTAATTTTGGGGCACCACGTATGAAGGTATTACTATTATTGTGATATAGCTTTTATACGTGCCTAGTTTTCTACAAGCTCAGTGTGCTCTGAAAAAATAAATTATTATTATAAAAATTGTCAAAAATAGGTCAGTGGAATGTGGGCAGTCCTAGGCTGCAACCCAAATTTGGCCCTAAAATTAGGTTTCAGCAGCTCCATCGCCAATGGATCAACTGTGATAAGTAGCTAATAGCAATGTAGTACTATTCTCGTTGTGAATCAGTATTGTCTGTTTTGCTATTCGTGCAAATACTAATTAATATTTTAACTAGTAATATCTAAACTAGGAAGTAGTTTTAATCTAGGTGTACATACTAGACGATCAATATATTTTCAGTAGATTAGAGTTTATAATGGTATGAAACATGCCAAGAGAAGGTGGTGCCAATGAAAGTACCTATAAGAGACCTTGGTTTTTCCGTTACTATTTGTTAGCTCAAAAATATAATGACAATAGACACAGAGAATGTGGGGTTACGATATTATATC